ACTTTTACAACAACCACGTTGGGCTTACAACTTTGCGCTACCCAAGTGTGTATTCTCATCATTTCTCAAAATTCATTTTATTACTAACATACAAATATCTCTACTCATCATCGCATTCATTTTTTAAAACATAAGCATTTTCATAGTAAAATCCTTTTGACTTGCATTTTACATTTCAAGCCAAAACAGCATTGTGCTCAATCAAATTTTCATACATTCATTGAAAACTAATATATAATTTTACATAAAAAATCAATCTCATGCATGTAACATTTACCATTCGCATTCAACAATCAATTAATGTACAACTACCCAAAGTAGAATTTTTTCTAGTTATCTCAAACTTTTGAGAGGTTAAAGGTTTACCCCTCAATCAATTAGCTTTCAAGTTTGAATTTCCACTCCAATAGTGACCAAGAGCCAAAACTATAATCAAGCAAGTTGAATTTTATTAACATAACAAACTCAAACATTTAAACCCTCAATCTCTACTTCTAAATTGCCCGACCTTCACTTTACAATAAGTAAAGCCTAATTATTGGGTTTAATAGTTACCTTTAGCCTCCAATAGTATTAGTGAGCCATTAAATTCCCATTAATGGAATCACAAACTTCCAACCACCCATAATAAATGGGATTTTTAGACATTAATGGTGCCCGGCAACTAAAGACGCTAAAACTCATCATACTTAGGTTTAAATACTCTAATATACCTCTATTAACTCTATTTGAGTCAATAAATTCAAACCCATAACCTGTATGGACTGAAATCTCACTTCCACTATCAAACCCTAATCATAAACTCATAAATGTGGAAGAAAAGGGGAGATTAATGAGTATGATACCTACCTTGGGCATTTGTAGCCTTCAAAATGCTCTCAAAATAGTCCCCAAACAACCCTTAGCAGAGTATTAACATGCCTCTCCTTTTTTTCTTTTCTTTTATTTCTTTTTTTATCTCATTTCGGTTATGATAAAGTGTAAAAATTGGCCATGCACTGTGGTGGATGCACAACGCGCTGCGATGCATAGCACAGAAAGGTCCTACCTCACTCAGAGATGGTTATGCACTGCGATGTGTGGCACAACAACTTCAACTCTTCTTTTTCTTTTCCTTTCGATGCCTAGGTGGTTTGCCTCGATATTGGATTCACAACTAAGGCTGAAATAGCATCAAATATAATTATTAGACCTCTCTGGCCACACCACTTTAATTTACTTAATTACCCTAATTAGGTTTAATTAATCAAGAGATTAAAACTCGAGATGTTACACCACATCATATAATCGTACCTTTTACTGCTCTTAAGTGAACTCCCATTCATTTATGATCATGCAAGTTCATTTAACACAAGCAAAGACATTCTCACATGTATATCTCAATAATTCAACACTTGTATAAATTCCAAAACTTACATGCTTATCATAACCCATACATTAACATAATTTACAATAATTCATCATATCATAATCCCATAATCATTACATGGGCAATCAAGGCTCATCAATTCCTAATCACAATCATGTGATAATTATAAACAAGTAATTAGCAAGCACAATTTTCAAAAAGAGGCATGCTTCATGACTTGTGTATCAAACTCAAAGTTAACAAACTCATCATCATGCTTGTATTACTCATTCAAAGCCATCAATAACATTAATACAATTATGCAAACACAATGATATATTCAAATTAAATTCTCAATTATCTTAATTCTTAGGTTTATCACCCTTAAGAGTGTAATTTTGGATTTCTCGAGGAAACTTTCTACCAATACTAGCTCCAATAACAATCACTTTACAATCAATAATAAAAACATAGCATTAATAACTAATTGTCATTAATAAACTCTTAATCATGATTAAGAATTAACACCCTCATTAAACATGATTAAGCATAGCTAATCGAAAGACTCATTTCCACTAACTTATTTAACTCCTATTAAGCTTAATGATCATTACTAGATTTTCTCATTAGCTTAAATTAGCTTACTTAGTATTAGGGTTAATTTTAAACCCCTCATTAATGGCATTTTATGTTGTCAACCACCAAGACCAACTGCTAAGACTTTAATAAAGTCATTTAAGTGGATGTAGGAAACCATAGGTTCAAACAACACCTTACTCAACTTAAAAGTTCCTAGAAAAGATGAGAAGAAGAGAGAAGAGGGATGAAGGAAGCTCACACAAAGTGTCTCTAGCCTTAGATAGCCTCTAATAGACATCCAAGAGGAACCCTAGCAGAGCTCTTCTCGTTCTCTCTACGCTGGACCTTCAAAAATTTCCTTAATTTTTATTGCTTGAAACATGTTTAAAGAGTTTAAAATTTGACACTTTTTCCACAGCCATGCCACCATCCACCATGATGGATTTACCGAAATGAAAAACCCTACTTAAGCCCACTAATTTGGGTCTAAGATGGCTCAATAGCTCTTCAAGCCTCATTTAATACTTCTTACAAGGTTTAATAGGCCTAAAAGGCCATCCAAATTTTAATGTTAACTTTTAATTACCATGATTAACTAATCAAACCTCTTAATTAATCTACCCTTTAGATTAAAAATTTGTGACGTTACAAGTTTCGTGTTGATATTTTTTTTATTTTGACATGCATCCCATAGTTGTAGATGTATAACGTGTTTTATGATTTTCTATAAACAAACATGCACATATTTTAGATGTATGGAGTATGATATATTATATTTTTCAAGAATAAAATATCAATGTCTCAGGTTCATATCCCATCACTAAATTCAAAGACATTTATAGCAAGTATGTCGACCGCTATCACTGAAGACATCTAGAAAAGGGTATGGAGGATTAAAGTTACAACTCGTGATGCCCACTTTTTGTGGCGAAGTATGCCTATTGCACTTGCTATGAATGAAGCTTTAATTTTTTAACATATAGGTTTCTCCTATCTTTGCCCTATTTGTATGCATGGCATTGAAACAATTGAACACTTGTTCTTTGAAAGCCCATTGGACTCATTGTATTTAGTTTGGGTGTGGGCTTTCTTTGAAATTTGATACCAATGGCATTGTGAAATTTGGTAGTTGGTAGGCCAATGTTATTTATGGCAAAGCATGTTTTACTGAATATAATATTGCCCTTATCGGTTAGATTTTATGGTTTATTTAGAAGGCTAGCAATGAAAAACTTTTTAATCAGATGGAGCCCAACCCTGTTGGGTTATTGAATATGCTTAGAGGGCTATTAATGAATATTGGCAGAGCTGTGTTGTGGTTTGCGATGACGTTATTGAGACAGCAAGAATCACATTGCCTTGCCATTGGACTTTACCATCTAAGGGTTTTATTGAAGTTAATTGTGATAGATCTTTTGTGGAAGAACGAAATGAAGCATCCATTGGTATAATTTGTAGGGATGAATTTGGTAAATTCAAATGGGTTTTTGCTGACAAAATTAAATCAATCTCTGCATTTATGTTTGAAGCTCTTGCTTTAAAAAGAGCACTTCTGCTAGTTCTTGATTTAAGATGCGATAATGTCATATTCGAATCTAACTATCTTGGCCTTGTATTGTGTATTTAGAAATGTCAACCTACTCTGGGTGACTAGAGATCTAGAGGAATATTAGAATATATTTTAGACCTTATAGAAACCAAAGCTGAGTTTTCTCTCGCCTTTGCTCCACGTGAAGGCAATGCTGTAGCTAATTTCATTGCAGTGCTTGTTCTCAAGGAGGTGATTCCTATTGGATGGGTGTTTCACCATCACCTTCTTTGTCTCATTTACTAGACAAGGATGTAGTGGCCCTATCTGTGTTTTCAAATGTCTCGTCTTCTAATGCGAGGAGTGGCACTGGTTGATTTCATTTTGTTTAGCTGTTGTTTGCTATTGCTAGCTGTGTTGTTTTGCTATTTTGTTTGCTGTTTATTCCTTTCAGTTGCATTGCACTTCGTTATTATTTTGAGTAATATGTCAGCTTTTGGCCAAAAAAAAAAAAGAAAAAAGTTGCCTATCCCATCGAATTCATATATCTTTTTTATGTATCATTGATTAACAACATAGGTTACTAATGAAATGCTAGGAACATCGCAAAAGCTCCCGTACCAAAATAAAAAAGATTGTAAAAGTGTTTGTGTGTGTGTGTGTGTGTGTGTAATTGCAAAAGCCCAATATGAAAATGGGAAAGAGCAGTGCCCAAGTTACCATAAATATAAAATTCTGATATAGGGTTTTCTTTCCTAAAGTAATTTTTTAATATTTTTTAAATTATGATATAGAGATTTTTAGGTTGCAAATCGATACTTCAATCATTTTTTTTAAAATTAGTTTTCGTCAATGATTGCAATAGTAATGTTTTCTACTTTTTTCTTTCTGATTTTCTTTTAAAAATAAAATATTAGATTTGATAAATGAAATAATGGTACTGAATTTTAGAAGTTGTGAACTTATTTATAGATAAATCATGTGTCAAAGCTATCCTTTTTGGAAATGAGGATTGAGTAAGAGAACATATTGCTATTATACTTATTAGCAGTTAATGGATAATAGAAAATTACATATAAATAGAGTAAGAGTGCAATGAGTGATCATATTTTATTTGATATTATTATTAAAAGACTATATAAATACAAGAATGTTAAAATCTATATTTCCTGAATTCAAATTATACTGGTCGTGTGCTTTATAATTTTTTTTATTTATATATGTAGATATGTTTGTATTCTGGATGTATAATATCTTGTATTTTTTAAAAAATAAGGTATCGATGTATCAAGTATATATCCCAACAGATTTATGCATCATTCCTGAGCAACAATGCAGGTTATCACTAAAATGCAATAAAATTGTAAAAGTTTTTTTATCAAAATAAAAAACTTTGTATATAAAAAAAATTACCAAAGCTAAATAGGAACTGGCCCAAGGGATGCCCAAGTTTCGTCATACGATTTCAATATAGGGTTGTCTGTCTTGAAGTCTCCAAAATTATGAAAGCCCAATATAAATCTAGCGTAGCCCGGCCCACCATATGCGAATTACTCTATATATAAAATTGATATAGGGTTTTGGTTCCTGAAGTCGCCAGCGGCCGAGAGATCAGCAACGATGGTGAGTAATGTCTTCTTCCTTGGAGCTCGTTTAGGTGAATTCGTTATTCATTTTTCAATGAGATTGTGGCCTTAGTCGTTTATGTTATGGGATTCGTCGTACAAAAAGCTGCACAGTTCATGGGATTTGAGTATTGTAGTGGCGGGGAGAGTTGTTACTATACCTGCATATTACGAATACGATATTGGGTTCTCTGTGATTTAGACTTCAAGCGGTCTCTGATCTTGAGTTTTGACATTTTGTCCATTTATTAGGCTCCCAAAAGAGGTGTAAAAGCTCCGGCTGCGGCTACGAAGAAGAAGCAGGTGTGTATCTCGATTGACATAACTTCAATTACAATATGGGTTTCATTTTTTTTTGGGTGATTAAATTATGATATGATTCGGCTTCCGTTTTCCCTTGTTAATTTGTTCGAGTCCAGGACAAGGTGGCCAACCCGCTTTTCGAGAAACGTCCGAAGCAGTTTGGCATTGGAGGTGCATTGCCCCCTAAGAGAGACTTGACGCGATTTGTGAAGTGGCCCAAGACTGTTCAAATCCAGAGGAAAAAAAGGATCCTCAAGCAAAGGTTGAAGGTCCCCCCAGCTCTGAACCAGTTCACCAAAACACTAGACAAGAACCTTGGTATGGAAACTAACTAAACCCCAGGATTCGTGACTTTTTTTTTTTCATGCTTTCTGTCATGTCTTTGAAAACTTATTTCAGTATTTTGTTTCGACACAGACACATATAGTGATTAGAGTATGATTTTGATCGGTTTATTAAAGTAGTTGCTTTTCATTTCTTATTTAGATACTGGACATAAATTCAAGCTAAAAATAATGATAATTGAATGATTGATGTGGCCCAGCATATCTGAATCTGCGGTTAATCCAAGCCTTGTTTTCTTAAACTTTGGAAGTCAAGGATGTATAATCAGCTAGATAGAATCTAACTTGAAACTCCCCATGCTACGTGTACGAGACTTTGGCAGTATGAGCGTTATATTATAATTCATATTTGATTGTATCCTGTTGCAAATTGTTCCAGAGTTGAGTGCCTGGAAATTATAGTCAATGTGTCTGACGAGAAGCTGATTGCCAGCATGTTTTGGGCAGTTGCATGTATCATTGGTTTGTCATTTTGGGTAGTGAAGACTCAACATTTGATGATGTCCAACTATTGCATTGTGCCTGTTTTAAATATTCTTGAATTATTGAATAATTGAATATCTCCTTTATTAGTTATTTTAATTTGTTCTTTATTTGTCTTGATAGTATTTGATTTTTTGGTATGGAGGTTTGAGAGATTTGTTCATGTTAATAACAACTGGCTGTACTGTTTACCTTATATCGATGCCATTTGCAGCAACTAGCCTGTTCAAGATGCTCCTTAAGTACAGGCCTGAGGACAAAGCTGAAAAGAAAGAGCGACTTTTGAAGAGGGCCCAGGCAGAGGCAGAAGGAAAGTCTACTGAAGCTAAGAAGCCTATTGTTGTGAAATATGGTCTCAATCACGTCACTTACCTTATTGAGCAGGTCTGCTACTTCCTGTTGATACATGGCACTGTCCATTTCATTTCTGCCGCTTGACGTTACGTGTTGTTTGTGCCCCCTTTTTATCTGGCAGAATAAGGCACAGCTGGTTGTGATTGCGCATGATGTAGATCCAATTGAACTGGTTGTCTGGCTGCCAGCCTTGTGCAGGAAAATGGAAATTCCCTATTGCATTGTCAAGGGCAAGGCACGATTGGGAACGGTAAGATTTGCCCTTCGTCAGAAAATAGTTTTCTCTGGGCATGCCCTCAATTGATTGATCACAGTTTGTAACTGGATCTAATGGAATTTTTGCTGCTTGACAGATTGTCCATAAGAAAACTGCATCAGTTTTGTGCTTGACAACAGTTAAGAATGAAGACAAATTAGAATTCTCCAAGATTCTAGAGGCGATCAAGGTAATTTATGGGCATTTGTTTTTGTTGCTTTGCTCTCATTTCGTGTGTTGGGGAATTAATGGGCCCTTATTATGTTGTGTATTCCGTGTGCAGGCCAACTTCAATGACAAGTATGACGAATACAGGAAGAAGTGGGGTGGTGGGGTTATGGGTTCTAAATCCCAAGCCAAAACCAAGGCCAAGGAAAGGCTCCTTGCCAAGGAAGCCGCACAGAGAATGTCTTAAAGCTTCCTGCTCTTTTGCTTTAGGAAATTTGATGTCTGTTTTCAATATTTTGTTCTCGTAACTCAATCAGTTAAACGTGAGGTTTCCTTTCTGTTACGGTAGCTTGCGGACTAAAATTTAATGATTACTCGAGTTTGAACTTGAAGCGTCCATACTGTAAAAGTAATTTATGGGTTTGAGATTTTGGCCGGAACTAACCAAACGGCTGCCTTTTAGATTTTTATTTCGTACATTCTTGGCTTCTTGTTGACGCTCTTTTAATTTCAATTCTAAGCGAGAGCTTTCATTTGGCCATGGGTAATTATGGCCATTGCTTGAAGAGTCAGTTATTAAACTGGTTCAGGAATTAATAGTAGATTGGTTATGAACATATGTTTTATTAAACTGATTAAGGTATCTATATCTGTATATATAAAAATAGAACTGTAACTAACATTCACATGCTCTTCATGTTTGATTATTTAATTTATTCATGATTTTAAATTTTTAAAAATAAAATTGCAAGCAGTATGAAATTGCCGCATGACATGTATGTGGAGGTTTTTTAATTTAACTTAATCATAATTTTAAATATTTAAATAGAAATTTACAAAACCACCTCATCCCAATTCCAACTTTTTCATTAAACAGTAATTTTAGCATTCATTCACTTTTTTTAATTTTATTTATTTAAATAATAATCATAATATATCTAAAACGCAAACTGTTCCCCTTTGTCAGTTATTTCTCTTCCCCCCCCCCCCAATGTTTCCATTCAGCTATAATCTTTTCTTTTCTTTTTTCATAATATATTTATAATCTTTTCTCCCACGATTTCTCCCATTATAATAATTTTTATGTTATGTTAACATTAAATTTTTATGAATATTTTATTAAATTTAGAAACTACTTTTCCTTATCTTTTATTTTTCTCTCTTGTTATGTTAAGTCCTTTATTTTATTTTATTTTTCTGATATTCTTTTCTATGATCTCTTCCATTATTATAACTTCCTAATCTTTTATTTTAAAATTTAAAATTTTAATTTTAAAAATTTTAAAAACTTTCACATATTATTTTATCTCTAATGTTCTCTCTTACGATCTCTCAAATTGTCAATATAACTTTCCATCCTTTTATTTTAAATTTTAAAAATCTTAAAACCTTTATGAACTATAACCTCTCTACCCACATTAACAATAATTCGTATTGTTTACATATATTTCTTTGCTCACTACTTTCCTAAATCTTATGCCTTTAGTTTTCTCGTTCTTCTTTCGAGCATTTAATATAACATAAGCACGAAGCATTCATTGCCATCAAGGCCCAGTATTTGTTGTTGCTGCCTCATCCCCTTCCTCCCTTCTTGAGTCCTTCATTTTTCAAACAAACAGTTCAATTCATATTTATTCGTATAGTTTTCTTCATCTTTCTCATATCTAGTGCAATGAGATTGTATTGGGGTTTGGATAATTAATTTTGTTCTCTACTTGGCCTCTTTAAGATCATGCACTACCTTATGGTTTTCTATAAAATAAATGTCTTATATATTTTTTTTTGACCATACATTGATTAATATGATCTATATGATTCTAAGCTTTTATACTATTGTGTTTGCTTAGAACCTAAAAAAGTTTCAAATGTAAATGAGAGATAGGTTAAAATAGTTGGTGTGTAGAATTGCTATTTTCCATTATAATGAAAGTATTTCAAGCACAACTAATGGCATCATGTTTCTAATTCAAACTTAGGGAATGATAACCTTTAGAGAGAGTTCACCTCTTGTTTGTAGTGATTTTATTATTCATACTTAATTTTTATATATATGCTTCTTAATTTCCTCCTTCTATAGTTCATCCTTCAAACTAATTACCTTAAAAGCACTTGACATTTTTATATTATTCCTTTTAAAAGACATTATAATTTCCAATATTTTATTTTATATAACTGAATTGAAAGCTACTAAAAGGTGTATTTATTTTTACCAAAAAAATAAAAATAAAGGGTGTATTTAGCATGGTTTTCAAATTTCAATGCACCAACTTTGGGCTATTCTTATAGTTCTTCCATTGAGCTTTAGTCTAAAGTGTTTTGGTATATTTTTAGAGTTGGATAACATTTATGCAATTATATTTATAATTTCCCTTCATTGTGTTACATAAGATGTGATGCAATAACAACATAATTTTGCTTACACAATTAGTTGCTGAAGGTGTTGAAGTTAATTATGTTTCAAAAAGACAAAGTTAAGTGAAGGTTTATCGGAAGAAATTTCATTAATGTTATTGGGGAGGTAATGAATCTTTTTCCAATGTACTCAAATATTGTCTTTGTTTTAACTTTTAGGAAATTGTATATAAATATATAGAATATTTATATAATTTATCATTTTTATAAATTTTGCAATTTCAATGTGCCACATCAGATTTTTCTTATTACGTTTTCTCAAATATTATAATATTAAAATCATAATTCCTTATATTATTTCTGCAACTATTGTAACAGCCCTCCTGGGTCACCACTGCCTCTCCAGGGTCTTTTCCCAGGCGCTGGACAACACACATGTCACCACATGATTGCCGGCTTTAGCCCAGGTGGTACTGAGCGTATTCCTCACCCCACCCTCACGGGGTCTTTTGGAACCTCCCCAGACTCGAACCTCCAACCTCTACCACCTTAATGAAGTTGAGCGAAGTCTGGTACCATTGAGTCACTTGACTCAATGGTACCAGACTTCGCCTCAACTTCATTAAGGTGGTAGAGGTTGGAGGTTCGAGTCTGGGGAGGTTCCAAAAGACCCCCGTGAGGGTGGGGTGAGGAATACGCTCAGTACCACCTGGGCTAAAGCCGGCAATCATGTGGTGACATGTGTTGTCCAGCGCCTGGGAAAAGACCCTGGAGAGGCAGTGGTGACCCAGGAGGGCTGTTTACAACTATCAAACCCTATTGTTTCCAATTTTTTTCTCACTTATTCTATTTTAAAAATGATTTATTGATTTTTCATAATTCATATTGCTTCCTCATTCCTCTCCCATTATCTCACCCACCCTCCCAGTATTGTAACTTCCTATCATACTATCCTTCTTTTTAATGTTAAAAGTTGAGGATCATGGCATAAGATAAATAATCTATGATAGGAATACAAATGATAAACAATCTTTTGTTGTAAAAATAATTTAATAACATTTTAAATCCAAATTGTACTTTAGCAGAGAAAATTGTGATACATTATCTTCACCTCAAATCTAATTTATGAAATTAATTTTAATTCTTCATTCTACTTTAATTGTGCAATATGTATATATAATTTATAATTTATAATTTAAACATGTTTTTATAAAAGTTGATTTAGTTTTTAAATTCATTCAAGGTGATGTTACTTGAAGATTTTTAAACAATTATTACATTTAACTCATTATTATTAATAAAAAATTATTTAAAAATGATTTCTTTTACAATATTATAATTTTATAATTCAACTAATATCTTATTATTGATTTAAATCAATATTTATCATTTCATACCCTGTGCATCGTGCGGGATACATACTACTTAAACAATCTACCGGTTCAATTGGCCCTCCAACTGATGTTCTATACATAACGTCAGTAATTTATTTGAGGAGAGAAGGAATTTAAATAAGCAAGAACAAATCAAATATTAAGCTTATGACTCGAGGACGAGACACTATTAATTGAAAGATGGTGTTTAAAATTTGGACTAGAGTAAACAAACTATGAATTGAAGTAGATAGGAATTGGAGTTCGCTTAAATGAAGATAGAATGGTAAACTGTAGAATCGACTGTCAGCTCCTCTAGCTCTCATCTTCGTCATTCATGAATAATTTTCCGGGGAAAGCATATTTTATCAGGCGCTTCAGTTTCCGACTATAGCTCAAGTTTCTACTACATCTGACTCAGTTCAATGATTTGGGATCCATGATCCATCAATGAGGCCGTCCTCTGATTCCATAACAATGCTAATGGGCATCAGCTTTTTGTAATGGTGATTCTGGATGTTCATTGTCACAGAGAATATATTTGCAGCCGTGCTGCGGCGTTCTTTACTGTGCGATCCATTAAAGTGACCTTTTAACTTCAGCTGAAAAAGGCATATTCACTGGCAAACTTTCTTCCACTTGATGCTTGATTATGACCAGCCCGTTCTCTTAGTTATCACAACTTGGGAATAAGGAATCTAATGTGCAGTAAAATGCCCATGGTAATTATCTTCGTGTGCTGAACGCAGGCATATATTACGTCACTTGTGTGCTGACCAGTGACCACAAGTTTCTCTGCGCCAAGAAAATGCAATAAATTTTTTGCTAATATTACTGCCTATAATGCAGGAGAAAGGTGCAGCAGAAATTATTGTGCACCAAATTTTGCAGTGAGACTTGCATCATGTGATCTTCTCTTTTTCTTTCCTGCTTCTACTAACCCTTCATCCTTTAGATCAAGGACCAACGATGATGGTATGCACTCCCATCGCTACTTATATCATCATGTGACGGCTTTGGGCAAAAGATTTTGACACAACCAGAAAGAACTCGCCGTTCGTTTCCCATCTATTTTAATTTTGCTAAACTAAAGCCAACCTTTTTCGCTTTAGTATGCACGTATTAACGCATTAGGAATGCTTCATTTAGCTTTTTTATATTTTAATGCTCTCAAATTATTTAGAGTGATCAATTTTTTCGAAGAACCAGTTCTGTACCATCTTTTTGGCTGATCAAGACACGAAAGGTTGTAACGATTTTTCTTGATGGCTTCATTACTTAAGGCCCCTCTATCTCCATGAGCCGTTTTGCCATTTTGATGTCTGACTTTGCAGATTTATTATCTTTAGTCTCCTCCTCCAGGTGCTTCTTTAATCTCACGCACCTGCAAAGCAAGCTTTTGCGTCAATGATGTTTGTTGCAGGTATTGTGATGAGTGAGAACGTTGCAATATAATAAGACTTGGATCAGATAACTTAGAACACTATCTTTCTAACACATGCCATTATAATCTTATCTTCTCCAATAACATTTACTTATTTATTCATGAATTTCTTCCACCGGTCTTTCATTGGTTAACAGGTTTAGCTTTTTAGCTACAATGTGAAGAAAAAGTGCGTCATTTGAATTTCCTCTTCGTCATCTGTGCTTTAACAATAATATATAATATAAAACATAGGCAGAGTGAAAGATGACTTTTTCTATTACTTTGTTGTAAAGGATGCTACATCGATCTCTCTCTATAACACGCGCACACAGCCTCCGTTCCACTTTGGTCCCAAGAAAAACAGTTTCCTCTTTGGTCGGTTACATATATAAAAGTATCATACTGTCATCCAAATCAATTTTACGGTAACATTGTGTTGATTTTCTAGTTAACAAGTTAAACACGACATTGAGTCTTACCTTTGCAACATCTGTATAAAAGATCTCCAGCGAAAAAAAATCTCTAGCAAGCAGGTTATGAAAGTGCGTTGAGACTTAATTCACTAATCACTATGATGTTCTTTCTAGTTTTTATATCAGAAAACTCGTACTTCGCTATTTCTTTGTTTTTTTTTTTTTTAAATTTCTCTTGGTAGAAGTGAGAGCTGGGGAAAATTTAACGTCACATACTATTTCCATCTTAAAATAATAATCTTAAACCAGCTACATGTATATTTAATAGATGGAGTTAATCTTTTATAATGTGACAAGCCATTTAAATTTTTATTAAAAGAGATGCCTATATTTAGTGCTCAGTCATATTTAAAACATAATTATTTTTAATAAAAATACTTATGAGTAATAAAAAATATTAATCTTAATGTTGCATTTAAATGCATAAGAATTTAAATAATATTTTTTATTTGGATATATAAAAGTCTATAAATTTTTCATGTTTTATCACGAGTTCTTTGTAATTTTAAATTTTTTTAAATTATAATTATTTAAAATTTTAGTTGTTACAATTCTCTCTCTCATTATTATTATTATTGGTGTTTTTGTTATTTTTGCTTTTCCTTTCATTTCTTATTTTCATCTTCCATTAATTGAAGAATAGATATAAGATTGTCATTCTCAATTTTTCATTTTTATTTCAAGCTTAACTTATTCTTATATTATTTTTAAAAATTTTTACATTATTCAAACACAAAATTTTAAATATATAAATTTAAAATTTAAATTCAAATCAATGGATATAAACACTATCTAAGTTTAAGTGCATATATTAAAGAAAGTAATTAACACATTAAAATCTTAGTCACATTACTAAATTTACCTTTAATTTAATATATTAAAACATGTTCACATTACTCATACATAAAGATAAAATAAAACATATTAATAAACATGGTTTTAAATTTTTTAAAAAATATATCAAAGTTTTTTAATAAAAAAATTACATCATAAGACGGACGGGGAAGTATAATATAAACATAAATTGCACAAGCACAACTGGTGAGACGTACTTATTAAGCATCTGGGTGACTTGTAATGCATCAAATTATTAATAATTAATCTGAATCACACTACTCGCTCCTCGGTTATTCTTCTGTTGATGCGCCCCTGACCCCAAACCCTTGCGCTCCTGCTTCTCTTCTCTTCGCCTTCTGCTTCTCTCTCTTCTTCCTCTTCTATATCCATCTTCTACTCTGCAATTCAACAAACCCTACCTCTCTCTCCTTCTGATTCATCCCTGACTTGACGCATTTCACTTGCCGCCAATCGAAGCTGTATCTCATTCCCCTGTTTTGCATTCATCCCCCATCTTCTCTAGTTCTCCCCTTATTTGATCTCCCTGTCTCCGAATTGGACCACCGGCAACTCAGTCTCGATGGCTCACGGAAAGGTTAATCTGCCTGATGATCTCTTCTCCTCCAGGACTGCTGATGGGCATTCCTCTCTCAAAGGTAATTTTCTTGTTAGGGCTTTCATCTTAATTCCTAATTATTGGCATCTTTGTTGTATTATTTTATTGCATACCATTACTTCCTACCTTGTCTGGATCCGCTGAATTTCAATCTCTGATGCTGTCTGCGAATGAATGGTATTCCTGACATGCTTATATCTTTCTTGTGGTCATTTTCAATTTTCTTTGGCTATTTTCCTCGTATTTTTGGGGTTGACTTCTGGCACGATTGAGGATTGAAGTTATTTTTCGTGGTTTCCCTTGTATCGGTTTGATTCTTCTAGCGAGTCTTGCTGTCTCACTATATTTATTTGTCACCACAATCTTTTGACCAGGATTTTAAGCACCAATGGGCTGATTTGCCTGTAAGTGATGTTTCGTTCCTCCCCTCTTCTTATCAAGGAGTCAAGTTAATTTTGTTATTTTTCCTTTTTTTAACTGTAAATCGTGAAGAATGGTATTGTTCTCCTCCTTCATCAGTTGTCTGTTTCAATTGTGATCTTGGTGTTATTCTTCGTTGGTAAGGCTGGTATAGGGCTATTTATACTCTTTAATTTGTTTTATCTTTCATTTTGTGGTGGCCCCTGTTATGTGATTGCAATTGGTGATAAATCTCTTGATGTTATGATTTGTTGGTTTATTTTATTCTGATTATGTATCCCATCAGTGTTTTATATACAAATTGAACTGAATAAGCTGCTAACTACTAGTGTTTTGGATTGTGGTAGATGAAGCATCCGGAGGAGATGGTGGGGAGAAAAGGATTGTAGGGATACCAGATGATTCGAAAGGTACTTGTGACATCGTTGTACAAGTGAAACATAACAGTAAAGTTTAGTACTTTTCTAAATTTTGCCCATATAGTGACTGCTGGTTGACAAATACTGCTTTGACTTTCAGATCAAGTGCCATCAGACAGTGGTATACCCTTATCTCCACAGTGGCTTTATTCTAAACCCATTGAAGCGAAGATACTAACTAACAACTCACCGGGGGTAGGGAACACTCACTGTTTTCAATTGATTTGGATTATCAAATTTTTTTCATTCTTACTAAATCTCTGTTTGTTAGGCCTCTCCTTTACTATTATTTTATTCTTGACTAAAACAACTGATTGGTGGTCTAGTGCATCATAGCGTGTGTTGTCTTCTTAATTTGAAGATGGGTATGATTTTATCTTGATAATTTCTTTCTTCTCCACGTGTAGGTAGTGCTGTAGTGAGGAGAAGGTAGAATGGGCACATTACTTATTTTGAACTTAATATATGTGGTAGTTTGAGTTTTAGAGAAGCTAATAGATAACAATTAAGTTTTATAATTTTTATAAGAATTTAAGATATAATTTATCTCCCTGGATGGCTGCCCCTGGTTGAATTGTGATAGATATGCAAAAGAATATTTTTTTTTTTTTTGCAATTTTCAGGGCATCAGCTTGTTATAAAATGTAATGCTGTTATGCATCTTTTTGTTATCCTTTTTTGAGTTTTAGTGTATGACATTAAGCTTGGAAACTTGCCCAAGAGCAGATTTTATTTTCCCTCAACAGGCCAGTATGAAGTTACATATTAGCAGTCAACACTATTAAGTAGGTGGTCAATCAGCATTGTGAGGTCTGTTATGTGCTTTCTATTTGTAAGGATCAGTAATTTAAAAAAAAAAATAACAGATTGGAGGAACGGGGATTATTCTAATCTCTTTTGGCTGTCTTCATGCCTGTTCTGCTGATTAAGCACTGGATTAGTTCTTTTAAATATGGAATATTTAGTTTCTTTCTTTCTTTCTTTCTTTCTTTTTCTTTCTTTTGTTTTTTTTTTTGTTTGTTGGAATGAAGAATTATTGCACTTCAATAATATTTTTGCCTTTGTTTTGTATCCAGTAAGCTTTTAACTCATTAGTTTTCCTTCTTAAGGGGAATTAATAGGATGTTTTTCTGGTTGGTTATTTTCATCAGGCTAATTCTACTGACCCCATACTGAAAGATAGTTGGCGTATGGATGGGTCTCAAGATAAGAAAGATTGGAGGAGAACTGCCCCAGATGTTGACATCAGTCGTCGCTGGCGTGAAGAGGAGAGAGAAACAAGCTTACTGGGGAGAAGGGATCGGAGAAAAGAAGATCGTCGTCCAGAGATTACCTCAACTTCAGAGAACAGAGCCCTGCCTTCCTCTGATCGCTGGCATGATGGTCGTGGCTTAGGTCATGATTCTCGGAGAGAGAATAAGTGGTCATCAAGGTGGGGTCCTGAAGAAAAGGAAAAGGATTCTCGCAGTGACAAAAGGAGTGATGCTGAAAAGGAAGATGCTCAGGTTGAAAAACAGGCTTCTGGTGTTAGCAACCGCCTGGGTTCGGAACGTGATGCAGATTCTCGTGATAAATGGAGGCCACGCCATCGGATGGAAGCTCAAGCAATTGGCATGGCTACATATCGTGCTGCACCTGGATTCGGGTTGGAGAAAGCACGTATAGAAGGTTCCAATGTGCGATTTTCTCCTGGACGTGGAAGGGCCAATTTCAATGGCAACCTGCAAATTGGAAGACCATTCTTGGGCTCTAACTTGGTGTCCGCACCTTTGGATGATAGTAAAGTTGTGCTGGGGACATCTAGTCTTGCTGTCAATTCATTTTGCTATCCCAGGGGTAAGCTTCTTGACATATATCGTAGGCGAAAGCTTGATCCAACTTTTAAAATCATGCCCAGTGGGATTGAGGATTCTTCGCCAATAACGCAACCTGGATTTGATGAGCCATTGGCATTTGTTGCTCCTGATGCTGAGGAACAGGTATGTGGATGCAGTATATTTGATTTCTGTTCCTTTGATGAATCAAACAACATCAATGTTCAATCTAAAATCTATAGCAAGCCACAATTCATAAGCTATAAATAGTATTGCTTATTCTTTAAACTCCATGCAAAATGTACGGGCACTCATCTAGTTTTGCATGTAAAAAGATTTTGTATTTTTATCTTTTATGCAATCTTTTTAACTTACTGTGCAATTGATGGGAAGACCACCTGAGGGTTGGCATGTTTATCATTCACATTCTTAAGTTTTAATATTGCTTGCAGGCTGTACTAAGAGATATATGGGATGGGAAAATTTCCAACAGTGAAATCTCCAGCTACTCCTCTGGAGAAAAGGATGGAGGGTCAAATAATGATATTTCAGGTGATAAATTGTGTACATGTTTCAGTTAGTTCTGTAAAATTTTTAACCTCCATTCTTTTTATGTAATTCCTCCCTGATTCTCTTCAGGTGCTGATTTAACTAAAGGAAAACAAACTTTGTTAATTGGCATGGGAGGAACAGTTGATTCAGGAATTAATGTCTTTAGTGATTCTGATGTAATTTTGATTGCAGCAGCAGCGTCAAATTCTGATGGTTCATTGAAAAATATTGTTGATGGTGAGAAATTAATAATTTTCTCTCCTTGTCTTTATTCTAATCAAGCGAAAGTAAAATCTTCTCATTTCATCTCATCTAATGATTTACAAATTAATATGCCTTTTCAGAAGTTGTAACTATTAAAGAAGGAAAGAAGAAAGATATGCCTAGCCATGGTGTACATGAGAGAGATGAGAACTATGCCAGCAGCTGTAAGGTGGTAAGTGTTCAAAGCAATAATGTTGCTGAACCAGAAACTTATGATAGCCATCAGGGACTGGTTTTGGCCCTTAAGACGCATGCTAATGGGAATGCTGTCAAATCATCAGCTGCATCAGAAATCAGTAGTGATCTACCTGATGATTCTCGCAATCTTTTTGAATTTTCATCTCTGCACCAAACTCCAAGTATTAATCAACAAGACATGAAGATGAATGAGAAGATGCATTTGCTTGAAAGTGTTGTTGCACCTGAGGACTTGAGTTTGTGCTATCTTGACCCGCAAGGGGTAGTTCAAGGCCCCTTTCTTGGGATTGACATTATTTCATGGTTTGAACAAGGCTTTTTTGGCACAGACTTACCAGTTCGCAGGTCAGATGCCCCTGAAGATTCTCCCTTTCAAGAACTTGGTCATGTCATGCCTCACCTCAGAGCAAAGTCTGGTTCAGTTTCTGGTAGTGATCTTATTACTCAGTCAGAAGTATTTGATGCTACTGGAAGGAACCTGAAAGCTAATGTTCATGCTCTTGACTATGATGGGTCTATCATCATAGATGATCAAGCTTGGGCTACATCCCAACCTGAGACTATGTCAAGTATGGGTTTTCAGTCACAAATACCTATTCAAGGTTATACCTCTGGAACCAAATCCTCTGGTGATCAATACTTTAATAGTTTTGTCACACAAGATGAAGGTGAGGGATTGCTTACTCATTCTATTGTTGCCATAGTTGTTTTCTAATTTATCTTCATTCAATCTATTTTCCATGCTTTATGTACCCATTCATTTCTAATCACTATCCAAATTTCTGTTTCTGTGTAGACATTGCCTTATCTAAAATGGCTAGAAGCAGCAATGATAACCCTTTGATGAGGCCTGCTGAAATCGCCTCATCTTATACCAATCTTTCTGGTCAACCTGTTGCACATGAAGTTTCAGGGAGTGATATGCACGAGGCTGATAAGCTGCATCCCTTTGGCCTATATATGTCTGAGCTCAGTGATAGCTCTCACTTAAGACGTGCCCAGTCGTACAATATGTCGTCAAGAATTGGTGATCAGGGTCACTTTCTAGATTCATTAATAGATAGAGGTGCCCTTTTCGCTGATCAAAGTTCTTTTGGTGGTATGATTGGTCAGCCTTCTAACAGGGAGACATGGTCAGATGATTATGGCTTAAACAGGCATTTTAATCAAGATCGATTTGTGGGTTCATTAGATGAGCATTACATGTCTCACATGGGACAAAAATATGATAACTTTGATGTAGCAGAGCATCTTTTGTTGCAAAATCTGCAGAAGGAACGGCTTCAGCAGCAAGCTAGTCTGTCTAATCATTTCCCTGACCACCTTACTGGGTCAAATTTAGAGAGATTTTCAAGTTTCTCTCATTCTCAAAACAATAACACTGGCATTCAGCAGATGATCCATAATTCAGGGTCAGATTTGGAACACCTCATGGAACTCAGACGCCAGCTTGAGTTTCAACAACAGCAAGAGATGCACCATCAACAACTTGTTCAACAAATGAAATTGCAACTACAGCAAGAGTCTCAAGCTAAGCAGTTGTTTCTTGAACAGTTGAGACACCCCCCTATGCCAGATTCAAATTTGGGGACATCAAAAGTTGATCTTGCTAGAGATAACTTGTTTGATCAGGTTCAGTTGAGGAAACACATTTTGCATGACTTGCAGAAGAATTCTTATTCAAGGCATCTTGACCCATCAATGGAGCAGATTATCCAAGCAAACATGGCCCATGCTGTCCAAGGAAGGCAAGCTGATTTGTCAGACCTTTTGTTGCAATCAAGGCATGGGAATATCCTGCCTTCAGAACAGCAGCTTCATTTTCAGCAAGAACAGTTGCGGCCGCAGCAGTTTGCTTTGGCACTTGGACAGCAGCCGGGTTTGGAAGGGGAAGGGCATTTTGGGAGGTCTTGGTCAATGAATGAAACTGGACAATTATTAAGAAATCCTGCAGCTCATCAAGTGACTCACACAGCTGCATATAATGCTTCAGATTTCCAAAAACAGCAGCAGAGGCTTTTGCCACAGGAGGAGCAATTGAGCTATCTGGGCAGGAACCTCCCTGAGCAGAACCAGAGAGGGTTCTATGACCCCAGTTCTGTGTTTGAGAGGTCTACACCTGCATCTGCTGGTGCTCTGGCAATGAATTTTGATAGTGCAGGTAATTCTGTACAAGGAAGGGATTTGCAAGAACTGAATCGCTACATGCGCCTCCCTAGTCACCTTGCTTCTTTATCCTCTCATTTACAAGCATCTGATGAACTTTTTGCGCATAACACAGATGCGTTCAAGGGTTTCTCTGTGAATAATGGGGATTTGGAAAATAGCTGGACTGAACAGCGGCTGGAACTGCAACACCTTGAAGGTGGGAGACAGAGAAGGGAGTTGGGAGTTACTATTCCATCAGCCGACCTAGACATTTCTGCATCTTCTGGAACTCATGAACAGATTTCAGCCCAAACTTTAGCAGACCTAATTCATCAAAAACTGGGTCTTCGATCAGCACAACAATCACATGTTGATAAATGGCATCCTCTTTCATCAAGAAATCAGGATCAGTCCTGGCAAGTTTCTGAGGCGAATTCATTAATTCAGCCCTTTGATATTCCACAAGATCAGCAGATCCATCTGAATGATTCATTTATAGATAGGTCTCAAAGTGCCAATTCAAGTGCTCTAATGCAAGATCATTTTAAAAGCATGAACATGACTGAGCAATACAGTAATTTAGGGAGCAATGAAAGAATGCCTTTCTGGTCTAGATCTGGATCATCGGTAGAAGAGCAATCGCTCTTCTCTGCTAACAGGGATTCTTTAAATCCTGGTTACAGAAATCCTCTCCTACTAAGTAAGTCAGCTATGGAAAACGACTTGCTTGAGTCAGAAACAAATAAGGGGCAAAAGCATGAAGTTATAAGCACAATGAGCAAGTCACTTTCCGGTGTCTCAGACTTCTCAGAACAAGTTGAAGGCACTATGCATCCTATGGAATTTCCTGTTATGGCCCATAGTAGGCATAGCTCTCTAAGTAGTGCAGGTAATGTTCCCCCCTAATGTTTGCTTTAGTAGATATAGCTCTTAGATATAATGGTTGAACATGAAACTGCAGGTGGTGATGGTGGATTGTATGTTCGTGAGTTAGTTTTAAATAATTCACATGGGGACAAAAATTCTAGTGACAGGTAATACTCTTTCTATATGTTTTACATTTTAATTCAATTCAATCTAATATGGTTATTTAATTGTCTGGGTCATTCTAGAAAATGTTTTGATCTGTCTTCTGGTTGATGGGTAAGAATTGTATTAGATTATTTGAGCTCAAGCCTGTTTGTGGTGCTATTCCTTATCTCAATTTGGTTGCAAAGGGTGTGTTGATACTGATTCATGGTGCTATTACATTTGGATTGATGGTGTGATAATTTTCCCTCTGGGTAATTTTGGATTATCTAGGATTCTTGTCCATTCCACTCTGACTTTTTTTCCCTTGTGTACTTTGCCCTATGCCACGATGAATAATGTTTGCTGATAGTCATTAGACAACTTCAGAATGTACCCATGTTGAATGTAATTAACTGTTGTTTTATAAGTTGAAAGGTTGCATACATTTATGAGACCCCAACAAAAAGGGAAGAAAAAGGGAAAAGGGGGTAGGGGCGGGGGAGTAACTTTATAGTTTAAATACGAGTGGTAATGGCTCAATGCAAAACTTTCCTTAATTTTGAGTCGTGCAAATAATCTCCCTATCATTTAAAGTTTGACAAGGAATTCTTCTAGACTTCCAAGTTTGTGCGGATAACACCCATCATTAAATGTTCATCAAGGGATAGCTCAGTGCATGAAGCTTCCACTATACACAAGGTACGAGGAGGATCAGACCTTCTTTGGGTCTGCTGTGTGCAGCCTTACCTTGCATTTTTGCCAGAGACTGTTTTCACGATTCAAAGTTGTGACCACCAAGACATGATGGCAACTTTATTGTTGCACCAAGGCTCTCCCACGCCATTAAATAGTTCATTATTTCACTAATAGAGCTTCTTACATCCTTAACCATGCATCTCTTAATTTTTTTTAATGGAGATAACCTTAAATTGAGTTATATGCAAATAATTCCCTTTAATTTTTAGTTAGAGTTTGCAAACCCTTTGTCATGTTACATTTATTAGTGAAATTACTGACAAATTAAGTTATCTGCGTAAATTTAATAAATGTTGAGGGGAATTTCACTGTCTAATGGTCAGGAAAATTATGTGCTCATAATTTAGAGGAGCTTTGAATAAGGTAGCCGAGGATAAATTGGCATAAGGAGTGCCACTTAATTCTCATTTAGAAGTATTATTTGGTTTCTTCTCACCCCAGAAGTTTGATTGTCTTGTATTGACAGGACACTTCCAACTAAAGGGTCTGATAATGCTTTCCATAAGCGCCCACCTGTATCTCGAGTTTTATCCTCTCCTGATGTGCAGTCAGACCAACCATCTGGAATCAGTGCCAATCAGAGCAACGTAATAAATCTTCTAGCCAGCGATGGTATGTTTTCTCTTCATGGCTAGTCGATCTGTTCAGTCTTTCAAAGTAAAAATGTGTCATGTTCTCTCTGTTCATTGCTGTTTTATATTTCATCTTTTGGATCTTTCAAAGTAAGATTCGTGTGCTGTTCTAGGGAGACGAGAACCTCCAGGAAACCCATCAATCAGTAATTTGACTGATGCTCAGGCTTCTGGGAGAAAGGAAGTGCGGTTTAGGAGGACTTCCTCCTGTAGTGAAGGTTCTGTGTCAGAGACGTCTTTTATAGACATGCTTAAAAAGCCTGTTCTTCCAGAGGTAGATGCGGCCAGCGGAATTGGCGCCGAGTCTTCTGATGGTGGAACCCAGGCAGGGCGGAGTGGTAAAAAGAAGGGGAAGAAAGGGAAGAAACAGCTCGATCCTTCACTCCTTGGTTTCGTGGTATCGAGCAACCGCATCATGATGGGTGAGATTCATCGCCCTGAAGACTGATAGGTTCTAGATTAGTTGTTAAATTCTCGCCAACCCAAACACACTTTTGGGAAAAGGGGCTCGGGCTATTATTGTATAGCTTTCGTCATATTCCCTTTTTAATGATGTTTTCCACTGTGTACAGTCATGAGAGTGTATATACGCGGAAGCCAGAGTCATCGTGACGGATTAGTTCAATTTTTTTGGGATAGAAGCATAGAATGAAAATAGCAGTTACTCGCTCACTATGTTCTGCATTTTACCCTAGCCATATTCTTAATAATTCTTGTGCACAAAACTCGTTAGTAGCTCGATGCATCACTTATGGTCAGACCTTTTTAATTGCACATCTCAGTCAATGGCATCCATCTATTTAATTTTGCTAGTAAGACTCGATGCGGCTGAAAATTTGGTCAATTTGTTTAATCCGAAAAGCTGAAGAAACGATCCCGAGATATGCTTTTTGATTCACCTGCGTTGTTTCATTCATAAATGACCTTGATAATTCTTTACTATCGATGAGGTGAAGCAATGTATTTCTTTTTCAAAAGCTTGTTATGGTTACGCCTTGCCTCTCCCTGTCCTCATCGCTTCAATTATTATGCACGCACGGACGTGATTGATTAACGGTAGCAGTGAGATTGTCTCAGGTTTAATTGTTTAGGATTTTAAATGTATTAAATATGAGTTTAGGATTTAAATCGCTCCTAAATCAATAGTTTAAAGTTCATATTACTATTTAATTTTTTTAACATTTGTGTGAACTAATAAAAAAATATATGGGTTAACATGGTTAAAAGTTTACCTGACATTAAGTATGCAACAGTTTATTTGAAATGGAAGTACTTATAAGAACGTAAAATTGTAACTTCTAGCTTCCCATATGGTCTTTCAACTTTTTAACTCAATTTAAACATTAAATTTTTAGAAAAATATAAAAGTAGACGCTATGATTCTCTCAAAGAATGAGAGGATTGAAGATGTGTTTTGTTCTCGAACAAGCAAGGGCTTATGAGGATAGGGGCACAAATGCTAGAAAACAAAGCCTATAGCGTTAAGATGAGCAAGAAAACTAAAGTGCTAACGAATAGGAGATGAAAATAAAGATAACTTTGAACCTCTCCTAGTAAGAAAAAGGAATAGCATTCTAAGTTGCTTGCTTGTTTCGCTCTCTTAAGGTTTAGTAAGAAGGAGAACAGTAAGCTTTTAAAGTTGGTCTTATGATCAAACCCTAACCAAGGAAATTAGTTCACTAGTAGACTAAACCCAGTCCAGTTTGACATTATCACATTGAGATATTTGGATCGTCCTTCAAACATTATAATATGGAACAAATTTGAAAATAGATAATATCCACGTTCAATAATTACCACATTAAAATGTAGACTAAAGGGTCCTTAAAGTCCTTTATGTCAACACCAGGATCGAGTGCCACTGCACAGTGCCATGTCAAGTATGTAACATATCACTTCACCTAACCTTAATAGAGAGACTTTTTAGAGGCTGTTAGCTAAGAATTACAGGGAGGCAGCATCGAGTAGGAAGATCATATCATTCAAAACATATGTTCATAAAGATGGCCCATTGCCCAACTAAAAACTTGCGAAGAAGGCACATATCCTACAATGATCATTGACCATAATGAATATGCTAACATACCATATAGTCACTTTATGAGGATCCAATGATTTCATGTGAACAAAAGTTCACTAGAAAGATGAAGGAGACTACAACTTAAGGAAAGAAGTTATGAAGCGGACCCTAAGCTGGTCAACAAGGCAACATGTTGTCTACTGTATGCCTTAACACTCTTTTCAAGTAGCCTAGTGATCTAAGAACTTGACAGATTGAATTTCATGTGAGAATAAAGACATCCCCTAGTGAGGAATGTCTTAAACCCTAGGAACATACTTAAATGTCATCGCCTTAAGACGAGGCCATTTTAGCGACCACCATAATAGAGCCATGACAAAAGTTGAGTTTCTCACTTTAGGCATTAGTTATTAAGCTTGGACATCAAAAGCAATGACATATATAATTGAATGACCCTATAGTCCCTTGCACGAATCATTCTTCTTTTAAAGGTATGAATTTAGGTATACTCGATCATGTAAAGGAGGATAGACAACAACATAGTACTGGGGCTTATAACCCCTAGAAACAAACTTTTGAAAGTGTGACCCTTAATTGCTTAAGTAAAGCAAGGAAGAGCCAACCTTAACAACTTTACTAATCAAATCAAATTCACGAACTTTCCTATCAGCAAAAAGGATCCCAACTCAATTAGTGGTCAATCTCAGTCTTAGTAGAGGGAAGCTTGTTCACAAAGGGTAGGAAGAATATCTTCTTTCCTTAGTCAAGAATTCAGTAGGCTAATCAATTTCTAAGGAAATTGCTAATAAATCCCTTCACTCTCCTTAAGGTTTAATTAAGATTCTATATTTCTTCCATTTATGCCCTATTTTATAGGTTTTCACATTAGGAAAACCCAAACAAGGACTCCCTCTAACTAGTGCATTACAATAAAAAAAAACTATATAAAATCACCTAATTTACCACAATGCTTAACCATATAACCACATTTTATCATGGTAATTAGGAATTAACTATCCTAGCACTATACTATGATGAATAGTATTCAACCACAACTAAAGAAAACTAACCATAGTAGCTAAAAAAGATCCAACTTAAAAGATTTATTGTGGTTAATTAAATTGAACTTCTATATATATTGAAAGTACATCACAGGTATTAATGTAACATCCTCAATTTTCAACTTTGAGTTTTTATGTTTAGAAAAGGGAAGTTGGTAAATTGAGTGATTAATAAGTTAATGATATTTTTGGACTACTAATAAGGTTATTAGGTAGCCTTTGAAGAGGGCTAGTTTTGAGTTTGAGCGGACCAAGTATCAAGTAAGGCCTAAAACCCAATCTAAGCTTCACTTAGCCATCCGTCGTGGTGGATGTGCAAAAATCTACATAAATTCAATAGTCTCATGAGCTAAAATGGAGGGAGAAAATAGAAGAACACAAGATAGGCTACTGAAGAGGGTCTGAGGTCTATTAGGGCTATATTTTTAGAGTCTTTTGGAGGCAATTTGGGTTAGCCACACACTTAGGTAAGCTTCCTGTCCTTCTCCTTTCCTTTCTATGTAGAAATTATATGAGTTTGAAAGTTGTTAGGGGTTGATTTCAATTTTTCTTAGGTTTAGAATGAACTCATTGGCTTATTTAAGGCCTTGGCAAGCTCTAAACTGAGTTTTGATTATTTTAAAGTAATTTGAGATTTTTGGTTAAGGTTTGGGCAAACTATAAGTGAAAATTTGAAAATTAGGAATAATGTAGGTAAAGAATTAGTGTTATCTAAATGCTTAGGTGATAAATGAAATTAATGAAATGTGTTAGAAGCGTTGATTATATTAAAGTGAGATTTTGAGTACAGTGGGTACCCAAAATTAGGCTAAAAAGGGTATAATTAGAGTTATAATTGATTATTAGTATTTATTCTTGTAGATTAAATATTGATCGAGCCTTATTAAACTAGTGGACCTTTGTGAAGTTAAAAAATTGCCACGGTAACCCTTTTTGAAAAAAAAGGTTAAGGTAATCAAATAATCTAATTATTTTACGTGTATATTTGAGTGGTTATGGGCTTGCAAAAAGATATATGTATATTTTATTATGAAAGATTTGAATTTGTATGATTTGTTGATGCTTTGGAAAATTTGTGTGGAGTGGTTATGATTTAAAGTATTCTTCTATGCTCAAAATACTTTTTTACTTGTATTTGTAAACCATTATGAAATTGGATGCTATTTGAAATGTTGAAAAATGCATTATGATTATCCATGATGAAAAGAATGTATATGATTAGTTGGCATGAGCATGATCATTGTGAGCGAGTGAAAGTTTACCTTAGAATTTTCATGGGATATTTGTATGAAATTTATATAACATACTGGCACCGTGGAGGCCTTGGTGCACAATATATTTCTTGTTTGAAAGTTTTAGTACTCTTTGAGATAAATTGAGCATACGACATCCTAGATATTTGAGGAAATAAAAAATCTATAGTCCATAATAAGCGAATGCGCCTTTAGCCGAGGCTACATTTTATGATTGGTAAACTTGGGCCAGTCCAGTTATATGAACTTGGTCCTAATATGTTATTAGCCCACAAATTTAGTCGAAGGATATAAGGTAGAGAATGTTGATCATGGATTATATGAATTAATATATGATAATCATGTGTTTGTGTGCATTCGATAAATGTTTTTAATGTCCACTTGACATACTCATACTATTCTTGTATGCCTTGTGGATAGATTAGATTATTTTATTATTGAGTCCTCAACTTACCCTATGGTTACATTTTATAGGTGAAAGCTTGAATAAGGAAAAAAGGAAGGAAGGTATCACCGAGAATTGAGAGACTTGTATTTGTATAGCTCTCTCTCTCCTCACTTTTAGGTATTATTGTAACGAATGATTTATAAATTTACGCCAACTTAGAATCACATGTTTTGTCTTGGTACACTTGTATGAGTATATGATTGATAAGTATCTTAACCAAAGAGAATTTAATCAAAATAAAATTATTGTAAGGGATTAAGATACTATTATAAGTGGTGTTATTGTAATATTTGTGCAATTGAGTAGCCAAGAGATTGTTATATGTGTCTTATTGCCACCCTTTAAATTATTATGAAATTGGAGTTTTAATGGTCGAATCATGTTTTAATTGTATATGTGATGATATATGATTGTTTAATTAGGTGTGTTGTGGTCCAATTGAATTAGTTCAAGTGATGCTAAGATTATTAGCACTTACTTGGTGAGTTTAAGCACCTTTATGGTTGTTTTAAAAGGAAAACGACAATTTTGTATCTAATTGTCCAATTTTTTATGACAAAGTGTTTGGTTGTGAGATCAATTTCAATAGCTAGATGGCATGGAAAGTTACATGTGGACACTTGGATTGTTCAAATTGGATGTTAGATGGCAAAACAGCATACTTCAAAGTTGGTCCTATGGTGCTGTCATGACAATAATTTACTATCATGATAATAGGGGTGCATCATGGTGCACTGCACAATGAGAAGAATGCCCTCTTCATGCCATCTACCATGGCAAATGACACATGCATTATGATGGATGATGTATTTTGAAAGGTGTCTAAATTTCCCTTCTTGTTCATCGTATGACTTAATTTATATTCCTATGCTTCCGTTACTTTGTTAAGCTTACTTTAAACTATTATTTCAGTACAAATATCTTTTAAAAAAAGTTTCTTGACATCTTAAATT